TTTTACGCCAGTGAAGATGTGCGGCCTGTCACCCCTTGCAGTTTTCACTTATTTTACAAACAATATTCTTCCCTGGTAGAGGGAGGCAAAATTTACCAAAAGAAAGGAGGTGAGAAATATCCTCAGCATCCCCTCAGTAGTTAGAGTCAAACGAACCAATCAAATTCATTTGCATGTTTCTAAAAATATCAACCAATCAGCACCAGAGGGTCAGATCCTGACCCTGTCATCTGCATGAAAGGAAGGTAAGGTAACAAGAGGTTTTACTCTCCCTCCTCGCCGCTTCGGGACACGTTGTCGCCGCTTCACGGCTCGCTCTCTCTTTCACGAAGAACATTTCAAGGAAAACCTCTGGGACCAGGGTACTATCTTCAATACAACTGCCTTTTTCATCCTGCCTGAAGTTTGCGCTCTACATTTTTATACTGACCGACCTTGAAATTCAGTTCGCTTTATCGAAATTTTCGACAACGTATATACTTAAACTCATTTAGTAGTAAACAATATGCTATAAGAGAGAAAGAGATCGAGACAGAATTTTCTTCTCTTTACGCCAAAATATGACCACTTACCTAGTTGGCACATTCCACTGTTTCTCTCCAAAATGTTGACGCGCAGCCCGTTCAGGCGATAAAATCCTCGTTCGGTTTTCCAATTCACATGGCCACATATTAAAACTCTCTAAAGAGGCGAAAAGAGGATGATTGTGGAGCCTGCGATGAATTTCTTGCTTTAAATACGCACACACTAGATCATCGTTGGTCGCCATTTTACAAAATATCGTCCAGGCGTTACTCGGAAACCGAGGTAAAGACTAGGCAGTAAGACCACTGGGGGTGCACCGGGGGTGGGAAATTTTGTTCTTCCCCCTTCGTGTAAGTGCCCAATTGTCGCTCTGTTCAAAGTCCGGAATAAATTAACCGATTCGAAAGGGAAGTAATGATGCTTGAAAGGGAAATAATGAGGGGAATAGGCTGGAGCTGAAAGAATTTCAGCGGATACGAATTTCGGCTTAAGAAAATAGAACTGCATTTTTGTTGCGACTGGTCTAGGGTCGTGCCAAATCGCAATGACCAGTCTTTGACTTCATCTTAAGCCTGTTTTCCCCTCTCATATCTCTTTACGTCGGACAACTTTAGCTGCTCATTTTTCTATGCCACTTTTGTCTTACAAGCGACTTTGATAAACTGGGAAAGCTGAATAAGAGAGCTCTAACGAGTGTGCAAGTATATCTGCCCACCGATTAGACCCAGTAATAGCAAATTTCCGCCGAAGAAAGAGAAGAAAACCACGCTTTACAACCGTAGACTTCAAAACAAGGCTTTATTGGATTACAAATCATTGAAATCCTAAGGTCCATGGTGCATTGAAAAAATCTTCCAGAAGGCCATTTGCACTATGACATCATTTTACTATTACGACCAGAATCCTTCAAGGTTTTGCTTTCTTGTGCAAATGAGGGCTTTTGTTATTCAAACCTCACTGGGATAACCAAATTTAAATATGAAAGAAGAAACGAAAAGGATTCTGGTTGTAGAAGTAAAATAACGCCATCGTGCAAATGGCCTATTACGTGTCTCCAAATATTATTGAGAGGAGTAGGTAATCACGTGACCGTACTCCGACCGACCGACGGAGCGTCGGTCCGCACCACAGGACAACCAATGTTTAATCTCACACTTTCTAGCTAGTTTGGGAGTCCAGGTGCAACCTGATATTGCACATCCATGTTGTGATCAATTGACAGCTGTCAAAACAGGGTATCCACTGACCAGTATCACCTGATCGTATCGCGGGCTCACGTTTGACCCATCGAGGTCAAGTACTTTTTGAAGTTATCCGCTGGCAAGTTACTAGTTTTCAACGATCGCAGGCTCAAGTTCATTTTTAAAAAAAAATGCATAGGAAATACGTTGTGTTTATGAGCTGCACTATTACAGTGTAACATGCTATCACTCGTTCTTGAAAATTGAGCGCGCAGCATTCTAATTGAAGACACAACATATAAGCTGAGTAACCAACATTCAACTTGAAAAACCAAAAACCAACTTTGCAATTTCAGTCTTCATTTTGGGGGCCTCTTTTTATTTCATTGTAATTATGACATTAAAGAGATACATATTTCCTCTAAATTCTATTCGGAGTTACTTCAATGGTGGTCTGAGTTTCGTAGTGTTTTCGATAGTAGAAGGGAATGTCAATATATCTTGTGGAATAACAAAGAGATACGCTTTGATAATAAGTCTGTTTTCTACAAAAAAAAAAAAAAACTTTTTGAACAAGATTTCATTTTCGTAAATGATCTTTTGTTGGAATTAGAAACTACAAGTTCTTTTACTATTACTTCGAATAAAATTAGCAATTTAACTACCTAATTTGGGCAGGGCTTCGTCACTCTGTTCCGAAACATTATGTAAAGAATAGCAATTGTCTTCGCTCAGAACTAAGCTTAACACTGACAATCGATAATAAAGAATTTGATATATTGGAAAAGAAATGTAAAGGTTTTGACAGAGCAAATGTGATTTTTGCTACTTGTATTTGATACTGAGAGGTCGTGGCACGCATGTTGATTTTCTGCGGTTTATTACTGTTTCTGGTCGGCATTATTTGCCCTCTGAAGCAAGAGCGTTCTCTTTGACCTCCCTTTGAAATGTAAAGCTCTTTGTGCGGCTAAATGATGGTTTCAGGTTGTTTAAGTTTCTCCAAAGTGCCTCCTAGATCTGAATAACTATAAGCGATTTTATTTTTGTCCCTAAATGTGACGGTTTCCTGCAATGTTTTGTCATGCTGGGCCCAGCTCGATCGTTAGCGTCTTTAGCAGGATGAAAAATTGTCACGAATAGTGATCAGATCTCGAAGAATGGATTGCAGCTGAAACTAAAGCTACATGAACTATGGAGAATTGCGATGTGTCTCAGTCTTGACTGCTCTTAAAGCAATGATTTTAAAACTTCAGCTTGTTTTCTAAGGATAATGTGAGGCTTTGGACCTGTTCTGCCTGTTGGACTGGAGCTCGTAGTTCCTTCCTTGATTATAACTTTTGAATTGGCTTTTTTAATAACACTATTAACAGTCTTTAACGTTGTTGAGCTCCTTGTTGCCCATATTGATTTAGGAGAACTTAATGAAAATGTTCCTCTAAATATCTTTTCCAAAGTGGCTGGCAACAGACGCCGCTATCTAGGTTGTGCAAAAGGAGGGAATAGGGATCGAGACCGGAGACTGGAAACAACAAACCCCTTGTGGTTGGCCTGTTACGTCAGCCTTTGACGTAAGATACATTTTGGCGGACAACGCTGTCCGTGCAACGAGGTCAAGATTTTGCAACGATGAGGTTTAATCTGTGACGGCAATTATTCACTACCCATTGCGTCTGATACGAGTTTAATATCGTTTTAACATCGGACTATCAAAAAAGATGATCAGACTTATATATAACGCCGAGTACTGAATACTGAACTGAATTACAAAGTTGTTGGTTTTTGGTTTCTCAAGTTGAATGTTGGTTGCACTCAACTTACATGCATGTTGTGTATAGAAGTAGAATGCTGCGCGCTTAATTTTCAAGAACGAGTGATCATGTTAAATGTTGGTAGTTAGTTGAATTATCAACTTTGAATGTTGAAACGTGAAGTTGAAAGTTGGGGGTTATAACTTAATGTTAGCTAAAGAGTTGAGTTTCGGCAGGGATGAACACCATACTCATCTATGCTCATAGAGGCTCTTTACTCTGCTAAGACAATTCAGTTCTATTTCTTGGCATTTAAATGAAGAATAAATGACATTGCCCATAACAACATTGGCTGCTTTAAAGAGGTAAAAACAAAAAACAATAATAGCATAAAATAGTATTACTGAATAGCTTCACTCTCATAGAAGGATAAAGTGGCCAAGCTTGCAAACAAAATGACCTATAGCTAGTAGAGAGCGTCATACTGAGAAAAATACTGATCTGTGCTCAGTGAGAGAAAACAAGGATATTTCACAGGGAAGGCAAACTCTTTATAGCTATCTACAAACGTTAATTTATAGCTTACCTGTGCCTATCTATCTGTGTTTAATCGTTTTGGAAGAGATTTCCACTATCGCGAATAAGGTTTCTCCATTTGATCAGTTCAAAACAAAATCACTTCAGACGCGTTGGGACCTGAGGACGACCAATATTGTTTCCATGAATCGAATTTAACGAATATCTTAACAGTTTGAATCCGCACAAACAGTTGCTAAAGGAAGTTGAAGATGGGCCCGGGGCAAATATCTTTCCTAGACACCCTATTATTCATAAGAAGGACGAGGGTGGCAGCAAACGGCATATAATAGAAAACAATACAATACCTACTTGAATTTGTCAGAATCGAATTTTCTGTCGAGCTACTAAATTACTAAAAACTCCCGTTAACCTGCCGTTATTTGTTAAACCCCGGTGCAGTTAAATTGGTCCCTAAGGAGAGTCATAAAACATAGGAACGCAGGAACAATAAAGGGGCTCTACTCGCTAGTGCTATACAAGGTGGCCTCTGAGATTCCTAAGAATGCTTACAGGGATAAGTTCTAACAACCGAAAACACTCCCTTATAGCAAATTTCTAACATGGAACTATGCTACCAACAAAAAATTCCTTCTGGTCCATCATAACGACAAAACCAGTCGTGCTATGGTTAACCGCTGTTGGTCCTTTAGCACCTCATTTTGTTGTTGAAACTTCTGCAATTGATACTGCGAAAGCTCCAAATACAATAATTTGTACAAGTTAGCTGCTAATCACCGTTTTTGTCATGAGTGGAGTTACTTTGAAAGTATCATGAAAGAGATGGTAGCTTTCTTTCTCAGCAAAGGTATAGTAAAAGGCGGAGAGCTGATTATTTATTTATTTGTTTATCTATTTTTTGCTGTGACTTATTTTTTGTTGGTCTGTTGATGTTTTTGTTGTGATTGTTGTTGTTGCTGTTTGTTTGTTTGTTTTTTATGCTTTCTTTGTTTTATGTTGCCGCCCGGTTTCAAGCAAGCACTTCATAATAAACCTCCAACTCATCTGGGCGGAAATTATTCCCGTATCGTGTTCCAACCCAGGTCCTCGGCCTATAGTCGCAATAGGGACCGCTGCGGAACGAGTGACAATTAAACTGAGAATTGGTATTTCCTCCCGCATTGTTCGCAATATTCATATCAAAGCCCCCACCAAAGGTTGGACCATAATAAGACTTGCTGTAAGTGGCGTATTGATAGTAGCCGTTGGTTATGTCCTGTTTGAAGTATCCATACCCTTTGTAGTTTTTCAGTGAGTACAAGAAAGTATTTGTCGAATATTGATAACCAGCAGACCCTGAAGAGAGAAAAAACAGAACACAAACAATTAGAGATTCAGTGTAACTCAGTCGAGTTCAATAGACCATTTTACAATTATGGATGGAAACGAGGCTGGAGTGGACCTTGCTTTGATACAACCATTTCTGCTTTCTTAATATGTATATCGTGTTTTTTATTCCAACTAGTACTTTTTAAGTATAATTTCCATAAGAAAACAAAGGAGGTTTGTATCAAAACATTGTTATGCTCTAAGGTGCAACAGGCACTTCATTGTACCTAATTGCGAGACAGATCGTTTTAGGAATAGTTTTATTATTAGATCCTGTACGTAGATTTTTAGACTTTTTATCACAATTTTCACACTTTTTTATTTACTGTAATTAGTTTTATGTACACATTTTATCAATTGCATCATTTGTAAATACACAATTCAGCATTTGGGCAGCAAAGTATTGGTAAAAAACTATCTAACTATCTATCTATCATGGTCAACCTCAGTCTTGCACTCAATCGAAGTCTAGGATACTAAGCCCACAGCTGTAAAATGGTGTATTTTTAGGAAACGGTGGTAGGTTAGTAAATACTGAGAGCAGGGAAGTAGTATACAATGCGTGAAATATCACATAAACCACGCTCAAATCCTCATGAATTGGAGCATCACAAGTTGCCACCAACTTCGTCCCCAGGGCTTTTCCATTAGAAAATTTAAAAGAAACGGCGGTCCACCCCTATCAGATTTCAAGAAAATGACCTGGTAGAACCAGTTGCAGTACAGCAGTACTAAGCCCGACCTTCTCCACTAAGCCCCATACCCCCGCGGCCTCAAACGCGTTTGTTACAAAAAAAGAAATAAATAGATGAAAACTAAATTATAAATAAAGCAGCCCGAGGGCTCAACACAGTTTTTTTGTTGGCATGTTTGGAGCGTTTTAAGCAGAACAAACATTTATATTTCTAGATCTGGATACGTCTAATCCCCGATCATACAGGAAAACGCACGGCCAAGCCGTTGTACGAGGAGAAGCCAGTGGCTAAAACAGTTGTCATTACCGATAATGCAAGGAAAATGTGCCAGATTGTGCCAATCAAAACCACTGGTTGTCAGAAAGTTTTTGTCAATAATACCTATGGCTAATGTTTAGAATGCAGTTCATGCTTCAGCAATGTTATAAAACTGGATAAGATTGTCAGGTTGCGAGTATTTGATTAAACTCTTACCACACAATCCTCTCCAACTAGCAGTATTGCTAGTGATTAATAACAATCTACTTAAGACTAGAGTTGTTTTGAACTACTTGCGAAAATTTTGAAGGCCCCATCTCTCCTTCCTTTGACATTTGGGGTTAATAACCGCCGGTTTTAATTCAGTTCAACTAGTCGATACCTTCCGAGTCGTATCTTAGCTATTTCACACACTTACACTTCCATGACTTGTCGCTGTAGCCTCCAAAAATATAGATTCCGACCCTAACAATTGTTACAGTGGGTCCTTTGTTATCGCAATTTCTGTGAAAGGTCTCTGAGCTCCAGCCATGATTAGAGGCTCTATAACACAGTTGCCAATAACTTCTGTCTGGACTTTGCAAGTGCGGAAGAAGCCAAGTATTTAACTGCCTTATCTTGCTGGCATCATTCGCTAAAATAACGGAGTCTTTGAGACCACCTGGTAAAAAGAAAGTAAATCATAAATTCATCCTTTTAAAAGATGCTGTATTTCGGAAACAGACAACGACTCCAGCATTTGCTATACCTACAAAAAACAGTTGACTAATTAAAAATATCGGCGGGGTTAGCCTAAAATAGACTCAAAATTAAAGTACCCAAGAAAGTCAGAAGCAACCAAAAAAAAAACAAGCAAATCTCGCTTTCGGTGTATTTGAAATTTCATTAAGAGTATATTCTTGGACAAGACCATAATCAAGATGATTGACAGGGAGAGAGGGGTTGTTATTTGGTGACATAAATATTGGTGGACAGCTTTTTCCACAAAATAGAAGTTAACAATTGTCAGAGTGGTAAAACGAATAGAAGAAACTGAAGTAAAGCATATAATTCGGCTTACGATGAGGAGTGCATGTTTTCCCGTCACCAATGTAATTCGCATTCACGTCGCACTTGCAAGTAAATGACCCTTCTGTGTTAGTGCAGATTGCATTGGAGTCACAGTCATGGGCGTTGAGCGAGCATTCATCAACATCTGGAAGATAAGAAGACTTTTATTTGTTTTAAGCTGGACCTTCTTTTTTGTCAACGAATATCATAGTCATAGGAGTGAAATTTTCGAGACCTAACAAGAACAGTAGTAGACCATTGAGAAGAGATGGGATTCAATTCTGTGCATGTAAGTAGTGGCGAATTCAGATCAGAGGGCTCGGCCGAGAAAATGATTTTACTCATGACAACCCTTCGGGCTTCCGTTAAGCCTAAAAATAAGGAGGGCGTACGGGCCGCCGCCGAAGATGTAGGTTTGGAACATACGAAACGCCAAGTTAAAGCCTTTTTTTCTTCCGTTTAAATTTCCTTATGGTTATCACCGCAGTTGGTTTTTGTTACTTAAACGACATCAGTAGAAGAAGAGCAAGTAGAACAAGAAGAACAGCGAGGATAGAAACATTACCGTTTACCGGGCAGTTTTTATAATGGCCCGCCACACAACAGGAATTATTTATGAAAAAATATCAAATAAATAAAAAGTCTACAACTTCTATAAATGTCTGAAAATGATCTGCAAACCTTAAAATGTGCTAACGAGGCGTTGTCTTAATTGGTAAACTTTTCCGAACATTGCGTGGGAAACTATATCTCTATATACGCGTGACCTAACTAATTCTATAAACGACAAGCACTAGCGAAGTTCCTATGCTAAGTCTTTAGTTTTTTTTTTTTTTTAACAGAGAGGTGGCAGAACGTTGTAATTGGTGGCGGATCTAGTACTATAAGCATGTGAAGAACGGACATGTTTGAAATAGGACGTGCAATAATCAGGACAATGATCTTGATTTACTTTGTGTAGAATGAGAAGTTTCTTTATACCTATGATGTCACCTATTGGCAGCCAACCTAATTTATCAAAAAGCTTTACAGAGCTGTCGTTTATAGTGTTCAGTATTTGTTCAAAGGCTTGTACCTCGACAGGTTCGCCCATCCCCCGTGAAGCCGCTGTTACATGTGCACGTGTAGGATCCATCAGTATTATAACATGTCGCACTTCTGTCACACTGGTGACCTGAAGAACATTCGTCGATATCTAAGGCAAAAAAAATTACTTTTTACGAAGGTTTCAAGGAATTCAAAGTACCATGGGATTTTGAAGCTTCTGGCATATTAGCCCCGTCAGCATAAAAGAAAACCTCTCATAATGAATCCCCGAAAGCTTTAGCCTGCGTAACAACATCTAACAAGCGTTCCCGCTCGGGTTTGTTGAGAAAGTTGTTACCAGAGCAGAAAGCTATACCCAGTCTATGAGAGCTTAGATTTTGAAATTGCAGGAAAATCAACAACCGTTCCTCCTTTAGTTCCCTCTTTGGGCTGTATTCAAAACTATAGTATGGTCTCTATACCTATGAACTAATTTTTGGTTTGCAACCACTTGACAAGGCGGCCATTTTGGGAGTCAAACAATATAATTTTCTTTTGGAGGAATTTACATGAAAATAGAGTTTAGTTCCCAGAGGAGAGAAATGTTTTTGTTCTTGATCACCAACATGGCCGCCGTGACGTCACTTGCAAATCAGTAATTGCGTTTGAGGTACGAGAACGCAACCCCTAATTTGTGTTGGGTGTTCTGTGCATTATTGGGTTCCCTCTGCAATTAATAAGGGAGGTTTTTTCGAGGTTGCATTTGTCGTCGTCGTCGACACACATTTGCCTCACTTTGAGGCGCTTGCTTACGTTTTGCCTCACTTTAACGAACTAACTCACGTGGTGATTAGTGCGTCCTCAAGCGTTTGCCGAGTTCTTTTATTCTGTCTTCGTAAAGCGTCCATCTTTTAAAAGTTTGCTGAATCTTCGTATAGCGTACATACTTCAAGAGTATGCTGAAGGTCTACTATCGATCTGTCTTAGCTGAATCTTTGAAAACGTTCATCTTTAAAAAGTTTCGGCGGCCGTTGTGCCACAAAGTAAATCTACCGAGTTGTGTAGCTCGGCGGCCGTTGTGCCACAAAGTAAATCTACCGAGATGTGAAGCTCGGCGGCGCCGTTTCATCATGACTTGTGATATTTTCGGCACAGGACAAACGAACATTTTAGGTCTATGTTATTTATTCGAAAAAACTTATAAATAGCCCACAGTAGCTCCACTCAAGTCACTGAAATCAACACACTCGACCAAACTACTGCACTTATTGAGACGGAACATACGATATCACCAGCCTTCAAGGCTTTTTCATGATGATACACAGTTTAAACAGAGGTTTCGCTTTAAGCATAGTTAGTAGAGGGGACTGGTTATGAAAGTCGGCGAGCTTCAAAGAGCGAGACAAAAGAGCCGTCGCTGATGTTGAAAGTACTTGTCACGTGACCGCGACGGTGCACAAACCCAAACAAACTTTCAACGATGGCGGATCGTGGAGACGATCTTTTTTTGTTTGGCGATGATTTTGAGGCGATTTTAGACATCCTTGATGAAGATGAGGTGCTACAGGAACAATTTTCAACTGCTGCCAGTGAAGTAAGTGCAAAATATGTAAAAATTTACACGTGCTTGGTCTATTCGAAGGGATTTACGGAGCCACACGCGACTGTACTGTCACGCGAGCAAACAACAGTAAACAAAGAATTTCCCGACGTTTTCAGATGATAATTCCCAAGCTATATTCTAGAAAATTTATAAAACTATATTTAGTTTATTTGGCAGAAGTGCCTTAGATGCTAAAAATTGCCTGGGGTTTGCTTTGTTGAGAAGCGTTTACAGAGAATGCGATTGCAACCTGACAACAAACTCGACACGACACAAATGCCTTCGAAAGACGGCAAGAATCTTAACATTTGATCATATTTAGTAGAGGCAGACAGTAATATGATAGAACTATTTTTTTCGTAGGTCCAATCAAGCGAGATCGTGTGCAGCGACTGTGGGAAAAAGTATAAAACGAGAGGAGGATATCAAAGGCACCGAGCTGCAAAACACAGTCCAAATCCGAACGAGCATCGTTTGACTTTGACTCCAAGCATTCTAGCTGAGATTGTACGCAATGCTTTAAAGAACATTTATCAAAGGGAAGTGTTTGCAGAAGAACTAAGGGAGGAGTTAAAACAGTATGAGTATGCAGTGCTTGAAGAAGGAACACAAGAATTCTCTGTAATGAAGGCATTATTTGAAGGCTATTCAAAAAATGGGAATGCTGAGAAATTCTATGGCAACTATTATGCTCAAGTACCATTGAAGTCTCCAACGTTTTTCAAAGGACTGTCTCGCAATGCTGCAACACTGCTCGCAACCAAGGTAGCTGATTTTATTCTCTAAGTATACAGTGCTTAAACACCCGGAGAAAACTAACGAATAGCGCACTAATAACAACGAGAGTACTCGATCGATGATTTTGTGTGCACTTTCGCGATCACGTGACAATGCAAAAATCATAACAGACATCGCTCTTTGAAGCTCGCCGACTTTCATAACCAGTCCCCTCTACTAACTATGCTTTAAGCAATCCTTACGTTTAAAATATGCCATGATCAAATTAAAGCCCGGTTTCCATATGATCGCTACCATCGCTGTGATCGCTGCGATCCTGAGAAAAAAAATTCAGGATCATAGCGATCATATGAAACCATTCTCCAACGATCGCAGCGACAACAATCGCTGAGATATAAAAAGTTCTATCTCAGCGATCGTTGTCGCTGCGATCGCTGGAGAGTGGTTTCCATATGATCGCTGAACTTTTTTTTCTCAGCGATCGCAGCGATCGTAGCGATCATATGGAAACTGGGTTTTTCGCTTATAATCTATCGCAATAACCATCCACCCTACCTGTACGCCTTACAAACATATCAAACGCACTCTTCTAAGCTCCGATTACTCCTAGTATTTAACAATTATTCCACGAGGGCGCGTTAGATATGAGATGGTAAATAGCCAACTCGGCGTTACGCGCCTCTTTGGCTATAATCATCTCATATCCAGCAAGCGCTAGTGGAATAATTGTTTTATTAAAAACGCCCACAAAATCTCGTTAAATCTCCCCGACTTAATTTTGTTAGAACAAACCGAAAAAGACAAGAGACTTCCGCTATTCACATGTCACACGTCTATCAAAACTGTCAACCCGCGAACGGACTCGCCTGGACTGGATGAATGAAAAATCAAAACATTGTGGCGATGAACACTTTTAAAAACTCATCGAAATTTTAGGAATTTCAACAGCAGGACAGCTAAAAAAACCTGGCAGATAATGAGAAAAAAAGAATTTTTAAGTAACAGCCGTCGAAATTACTGTGAATTTGGATTTTCGGTGCAGTTACAAAAGTAAGAACAACGGAGAAAAACTATTACCTCGGTCACTTGTTATGAAGTTGTTTGAAGCCACCAGCTGGTTTTGCTGAACGAGAAAAAGAAGCTATACTGACGCTCGATTGCTGTAGTGAATGGCTGCATAGCCTGTATTCTGGTTGCTTGTGATTTATATTCTTCATGTCGGATAAACAAGACGCAGTTATCTATCGGCGAGTGAAGAAACAACACTTGTCTTCTTTCGTAGCTGGTCAAGGTACTTTAGTTCCATGAAGTTTCATGTGTTTTCGTTAAACTTTCAAACAAGCTCTTGTAGCTTTTTTGTTTCTTTGTTATTCTCCCGATGAAATTGCATTTTCTAATATTCTAAGAAATGAATGAAAACGATTTGCTTCGGGCACCATTCTATCCTTCGCGGAAAAAAAATCTCAGCTAGCTTCCAATTTTAAACTGAGGCGCACACCGACCATATATGGAGAGCATGGTATAATGGCTCATATACCATAATGGCTAAGCCAATCAAAACGCTAGAATTGCATTATCAAATGATTCAGTTTTTAATAAAAAGATTTAGCCAGGGCTAAAAGCGAGGCACTCGTTAACATCTATAGTTTACTAAACAAAATGTATAGAATCGTGTAACGGCAAGAGGCGAAGGCAACGAAAACAGCCAAAAAAAATCAGTAGGTTTACTTAGCAAAAAAAGACTCTGCAAGTGAAGCACATTTTTGTTTCTAATTAGCAAAAACAACTTTGCACGCTTTTTTGTACATTTCTTTGCCGTTGTTTTGCAACGACTACAACGTGAAACTTGCAGAAACTTCCTGGTTACACGTTTTATGGAGGAAATGTTTATGTGTTCCTGTTCACTTTTTTTTCGCTGCCGCTAATTTTCACATTGGTGGCAGCTAGCATTTCCCCTTTTTCTCACCGCCGCTATAAAATTTTTATGTTTTTATCTCCAAGAGGCCGGGAAGCTATGCCATTTACCGCCGAAACGCGTGGGTGCTTGAAATGCAAAATTTCATCCCGGCTTACATGGAAGGGGTGGACGTAAGTACGGGCGTACCCAGTATGGACGATTTTCTCAGAACCAAAATTTCTTGGATGCATAGATTACCAAATTTTCTTACCCATGGTGCTTAATAAGCTGAAAATTGGTTCAAACCAGCGATGTGAACAACGTGATGGTGAGCGATCGAAAGGGGGTGAGCACATGGAAAGGCTCCCCTAAGAATGATATAGTCCGGAACGCCCTAAATTCTGATTGGCTGGAAATAGGATAGGCTTGGAACCTGCCGCCTTAACCTGCAAACCATTATTAAATGCCTTGCCATAAAATCCCATTATGATGTCGTCATAACGGTGTCTAGATTAATGTCCAAATTTTATCATCTCTGAAATTGGAAAAAAAGTTGCTGAGAAAAAGCTTCTGGCATATTAGCCCCATCAACATACAAGAAAGCCTCTCATAATGAATCCCCGAAAGTTTAAGCCCGCGTAACGGGATCTAACAAGCGTCCCTGCTCCGGTTTGTTGAAAAAGTTGTAACCAGAGCAGAAAGCTACGCAGTCTACGAGAGCTTAGATTTTGAAATTGTTTGGAAATCCACGTACGAACTTTAAATCCCTTTTTGGGCTGTATTTAAAACTATAGTATGGTCTGCGTTCCTCTATAATATAAAATTAGGATAGTTAATAAACTTCACTGCTCAGAGTTGTTCATAGAGATTAGGTTAATGTCCAAATTTTATCATCTCTGAAACTGGAAAAAAAAAGTTGCTCAGAAGATCTCCCTCCTAATTTTTGCCAGCCTATCTTTAAACGCTCATTTTACTACTATAATACGCTGCTCCGTATTTAAACCCCTCTGAGGAGTTATTTGAAAAATAAATTTTCAAGCAATTTTACGGTAAAAGTATGCTTTTTCTACCTAATAAGTTCGCCCCAAGCTAGCCTTAAACTCACAAGAGATGTCTCTTTACCATTGGGTGAGTTTCTTTGATGACTATGCTTCATGAATTAAACGAAAAACTACAACTTGGGGATTCGAACATAATACCTCTGCAAAGAAAGCCATCACCGGCATATCCTACGGAGCACCGGCAGCTATAGGAGCCAATAGTGTTTGTGCAGATGGCGTTCTGATGACAATGGTTATTGTTTCCTCCACATTCATCAAAATCTAATTTTAAAAACGAATGCAAAACAATCGTTCAGTCAGTCAACCTACAAAACAAATAATGAAACGATCGATTGTCAATCAACTTTTTTAACAAAAGAATACAATTCAAAATCGTTGCTCATATGAGTCAATCAGCACAAAAACCGTTGTGTATGAAGGGGTAATGCAGTGCTAAAAGCGTTAGCTTATGGATCCTTTTTGAGACGTCTAATTTCCTTTTTCGCACGAGTACTGCCTATTTTTCTTTCTGGACTAATCCTTTAATTTATACTATTTCTGCAACAAACAGATTTACAGTAAACTCAAACTTTTTGTCAGCTAAGAAGCCAGAGAAATGGGCCATTTGCACGATGACGCTTTTTTTACTGCTAGGACCAGAATTCATTTCGTTTTTTCTTTCATATTTAAATTTGCTAATCCCGGTGAGGTTTAAATTACAAAAGCCATAATTTTCATAAGGAAGCAATACCCTGAAGGATTCTGGGTAGTAGTAAAATGACGTCATCGTACAAACGGCCTATTGGTTATCAAGGTGTAAATTGGTGAAAGTCAACTAGGATCTTCTCTGGCAATAAGACAGAGACAAAATACAAATGAAATAAATAAAAATAACTCTTAACGCCTGGAAACGTGAAAGTAGACCATCTTCGATTTCTGAGAACCCACACTTTCAAAATGAGGTCAAGAGCAAACCCTTTCATGAGGAAGTATTTTTATAATCTCTTTTTGAAAAAGGCTTGGGGCAAATCGGAAATTGCTTTTGAATAGGAACTAATAAAAATACTAATAATAATAGTAATAATAATAATAATAGTAACGCCTGTTGGTATATAAAAGAGGTAAGTCACCCACAAACCTTCTGAACAGGTGTAGTTATGGCAAGTACCACAGTTTACATCATTCCACATAAAACTATGTCTGACTCCTAAAGTGTGAACGCAATCTTCATTGTTGAAGTTGTTTGGTTGGTTCTTCGCCCAATATGAAAAGTTACTGGTTTGATTATCTGCCCAGTCGAAAGTACCCTCAATTAACCTATCGTTTAGCCCAATCCAGCCCTTGGCACCATTCAGCCGATGCTGAATATAGACGTTTTCTTCTTGATTCCGCACAGTGGTGAGGTTGCCGCTGTACGCTTGGCAGATTTTCTCAGCTTCAGTCCAGTTTTTGCACGAATGGCTTGTCGAGTAACAAATACCATTAAAATATGACCAGCCCGGTTTACATACATCTGCAATATACAAAACATTTTGTGTGAAGTAAATAGTGCGTAACAAAGAGAAAAAAAGGCCTAGGCCAAACGTCGAACTTTTCATGAGACGAACTAAACTTAGTGAATTAAGTTCATGAAACGTTGTTAGCGACGCCTGGCTCAGTAAGTTCGTCTGAATGAGTTTGGATCGTCCAACACGTTCAGACGGACAGAGCGTCCGAAGATCGTCTCCGGGACAAACGTCGATCTTCACATGTGAGGACTAAACTAATAAATTAAAAAAAAATTGTTCGGTAATGTATATAAAATCGTTCGGGAGAAAATAATTTTATTACTGATCTGATTAAGTTGATTGATTCCACGCGTCCTATAAAGTTAACTTAAGTTAGGTCAATTCAAATTAGAGTTTGGTTCGTTTCATGAAAACTTCGACGTTTGGCGTAGGCCTTAGCTGACCGAGTAGTTTTTGGAAATAGAAACAGATGCTTGTAGTAAGTGGGAACTAAGAAAATACATTCACTGGTGATTACTTACAGGAGATATGAAACAAGGAGTCTCTAAGTTTACTTGACATCTACCAAAGCTTGCTGGGCATGAGAAAGTCTTTGCAAAGAAAATTTGTTTTAATCATTTACTAACACACCTGCTAGTACTGTATAGGACACATTCACAGGATCATGCTGGTCAGCGAACAACTCCTTGAGACAAATGCGGAATTCGCTGGTCTTGATGTGCTGTAAAATAAGCATATCATCTAGCATCATATATTTCGCTTACAAGAAAACAGTAATAGCTCAACTTTTAGAGAAGTTCGCTTAAACGCCTGTAACTAAGTCATTTTGAATTCCTATCTAAACAACAACAAAAAAAAGAACTTGGGAAACTGACCTTGAATACCACATGGACAAATAGATAAAACTTTTCGCTGGGCGACTATGACTGATAAAGAGACTGCATTAACAGAGCATGGTGTAATTTAGCTCATTTGCACATTTCCTACAGGGTTGTTAGGTTGATCTTACTTATTTTGGAGAAAGAGCGTTGTATATTAGTTAAATAATTTGAGAATACCTCAATCCATGGGGTCACGGACATGTATATTGGCTTCAAATTGTTGCCCTCTGAGTTGTGACTGGCTGCTATTAATACTATGGGTTCTTTGTCGTAATTCTTTGCAAATGGGACGTCCTAGGGACATAAAAAGAAGGCTGTTGATATAGCATTTGAATGAGCGTCCATTATTGATCAATGAATGGTATAGGTGGCTGAAATTTATCTGCGCTGACTCGAAGGAACAGGTAATTTTTGAGTAAGAAAAACATTTCTTTGTTCAAGATTATTTTTCCGACGGCTTTGATGAACTTTCAAAACACAAGTTCATTTCTTGGCCTCATCTCTTTTCTTTTGAAAGATCATTTGACTTGATATGGCAACTAGATGCGAGATCAGTCATGGTCGACTTCCTTCGTAGACCTTATCACGGTTTTCGCCGCCATCTTGACGAGTAGGCAAATGCGTGAGAAATTACAGTGTTTGTATGAGAATGTAATGTTGAATTTGTCTAGAGGCTTGCTTTAGATTTTCCATATATTTGTCTGTAATTTTCCCGGCACTTTCTTACAGACAAATGTATAGAAAATTTCAAAAAGTGGTTCTAGGTCTTCTAGTGCATCTAACGCCCTCAAATTTTTTCAGGAGAATAATTAGGAGTGAAGCTTTAGTTTACAATTGATATTTTGTTCAGAACAGCCGTTCTACGGAAATTATTCGACATTAGATTCTCATACAATCACTGTAATTTCTCACGCGTTTGCCTACTCGTCAAGATGGCGTCGAAAACCGTGACAAGGTCTATTTTTACTCCCACTTATTAAGTTGGGATAAAATCTGGAGTTTTACAGCCGTAAAGATGATTTAAAATTCCGAAATGTACTTATTTGATAGCCGCTTTTCTCTGCTGTTTCATTAGACTTTCAAAAAAGTCCTTCGTCGGATTTAATATGGCGCGGGATGAAGGTCGTCCTCTCGCGACTTCGTCCCGACCTCGCCAAAAAGTCGACTTGTAGCAAGTCTACTGTTCCATCTAAACAGATAAAGAGCTTTCTTCTACTTAAAAGTAAAGTTGCGTCTTACCTTGCAAAATGCACCATTGTAGCTCGTTGAAACGGAATTGTTGTTTGGAAAATCCACGTGTTTGCTCTCAGCGAAAAGGGGCCAGTGGATTGTTTCAAAGGCCATCCAACTCTAAAAAGAGGGGTAGCACTCAAAAATGGATTGCTATCTCATACCTAAATCCCGTGTAAAAATAATTGAGCTATGTGCCCTAAAACGATTTGTAACTTGTATCCACAATGCTTGCGAGAGCTCATCTCACGTATTTTATCATTGAACTGTTTTTTTTAGTTCCCGGCGACCGGGGTGGGTTGGCTTTGGAGGCTCCCCTCTATAACTTTCAAACCTCTCGTGATACGGCCACCAAAATTACACAGAATAAAATATTTTCCAACGTCTAGGCACAATTTGATTGACAATGACGGCAATCAAATTATTTGACGTCATTACAACGTCATATTGTTGAATTTGTTGGCTGAATAATACGCTGCATTAGATAGACTGTCATGTCATAACGCCTGTAATAACTTCCTATATAATTCTCTGTGTATGCCAGTTTGAAATCAGCCGGCGTTTTCGACTGAACACCGCTCTCTTAGTGGGCATTGTTAGAGCTTTTTGGGTTGCCTTAAGCAAAGCTTTCCGGAAGGCATCATTCCCGGGGGGGGGGGGTACTCCCACATATGGGCTATATAGGTACGTGCCGCGGAATAGGGTATGGTTTTTGAGGTTCTCGACCCTTAAATAGGGTATCTTTTTTGACCCTTTTGCTTCTGTGTCCCTGGTGTGGTCCTTAGATAGGGTAGCTTAATTGTATTATGTAATACTGGAGTGTGAAAACGCCCGCCTAAACGAACAATTTTTTGTAAACTAGGCTTATTCTAGTATTTTATGCTTTATGCTATACATCCAATGTTACAGAGCAGAAATAAAGTTTTCCTTTTCATGCTATTAAAAATTTTGTTTTTTCCTTGAATAGGATGTCATTTTTCGGCTTTCGGCCTTAAAAAGGGTATCAGTTTTCGTTTTCTTAGCCCTTAAATAGGGTTAGGGTTCACGAACCTTCGCGGCACACCCCTATCCAAAATTCGCGGGAGTGCACCCCCCGGGGCATCATTAAGCCTTACGAAGAAACAAGTCTCACGATCGTCAAAGTCTGCTACTTCTTCTCGTATTTCGTCTCATTTAGCTACTCGGACGAAAGACTGATCCCGGGTTTGAGAAGGAAAGATTGGATATTGCGAACTTTGTTGTTGGCAGCAAAAAGTCTTTGGCCTCACAAAGTAGGTTCTCGGGGTGAAATTTATTCGGCGAGATGGAAATTGATGCTAATCTCTGACCAGGCGAAAGACGTCTTCGTTAAACATTGTTTGCTAGGCGGGGGCTCCATGCCTCCTTTTCAACCGCTAGTTTACATCCAGGATCTTGAATAAATCGACTGTGTGAGTTGAGAAAAGTCTCCATCGACGATTTATGTGCAGAATGCGACAGTTTTTTCGAGTAATTTGACGTTGATTTGCCCGTGTTAAATGTGGAAATATTTTGAGTGGTTTTTGGAAGTTTTGTGATTGCCACGAAATTAATATTGTGTGATTTACCGAAAGCGTTGACAAACAAAACTCAGGTATGTGGTTGAGCTCGTGTTACCAGATTACGGTACCAAGCATAAAAAAAAAAAACGCTTCGCAAGTATTTAGTTTAGGTTATTTTGTCTTAGAAAGCCTATTCTGTGCTCAAAGATTGTGGCTTCTTAATCTGTTTTCGGCAGACACTTGGCTATGGGCCTCATGGTTTGGCTAACTAAAAGGTTATAATTTCTGGACGTTTCAAATGTTCTTTATTTTATCCCCAAATCCTTTTACTTCTGAGAGAGAAATTTACCGTCTGTTGCCAGCAACAAAGTTGTCAGCTAGTATTTTGAAACCATTTTCCATTCGACTTAGATATCAAATTGTTAAAATGCACTTGAAATTTCTTTAGCCACGATTTAGCAAACTCCAGACAGATATATTTATAAAGGAGAAAACATATACCACAAAGATATCTTCATGTAGACCGTCATAATTCTGTAGTTCTCGAAGACAAATGTAAAAGGAGGAACTGGTTGCGTTTTCAACCCACAAACTTGCGGCATCATACTTAAAGTCTGCACTTATATGTTCTGCTGTAACCAGGACCGTTGGTGTAGACGAGAATTTTCCCTGTTAAAAAAACCATTCATAACAGTAAGAAAGTTGAATTGGTAATTATTAAGTATACACAGCAAAGATGATTGGGAGAATAGGATGTAATATTTGGAATAAATAGCATTTCACATGATCAGGACGCTCATAGGACATCGGATCGTGGTCATGTGTCTGAACGCGACTGTCAAATTTAGCCCTTGACCTTTTTTTAAGAATATCTCCCCCTTCTGAGAAATACTGTAAAAACTGAAAAAGGTTTGAAAATGGCCTATGTGTCAGAATTTCGCGGACAGAACTGGGCTGACTCTTTGCAGCTCATGTCTCTAAGTCCAAGTACGATATCTTTGATTGGATAACAATTGGAGTGTTTGGTACTTATGACATCAGCATAGCAAATGTTCATCTTATTGAAAATTTAACTAAAGGTCATTATTTTTTATGGTTTATGCAACGAAACAAGATGCAGCTGAGAGGTAACAATAAAGTGTTATTGCCTGAGGAAGGCTGACTTTTGAGCACTGTGATCCAGTCCACCATTCTGGAATGCGCATTTTACCCGCCACACCTCCATCAGGAGCACCTTGGTAGGCCATCCAGTCCACCGTGGCAAATTCTTTGATAAAGCGATCATTTCTTCCTGCTGCAGTCACGCACACCTAAATATTAAACGTAATTGCTAATGTTTATTTTATATGGTAAGATAATATATAACAATTATTCACCGAAGCTAGTGGGTATTTGCCGAGCCTTGAAGAGGCGAGGTAAATACCCACCACTAGCCACCGACACTAAGGTGAATAATTGTTTTAGTAAATACTCAAACAGTGGCATAATTCAGCACAAAAATGATGATTTTTAACTTGTTTACTGTTGTCAACTATTATAATTTTGGCGCGTAATGACCGAACCGGCGGCCGTCGCGTTTTCTTGCCGACAAATAAAACTCTTCAAGGCATTTGCTTAGCTCTTCCGGGGAAATTTCTTCAAAAGGAGTTGTGAATTCTTTTTGTATTAAAACTATTCTGTGAAAAAAAAAAAAAAAAACTATTTATCTAGTTTTAAGCTTATTTGTGAACATATCAGCTAAATAAAGTAACGCAAGAGTTAGTTTGCATTTGTGAACAAAAAAGCTTTTTTACAGGTTTCATCCATAAAATCAAGTCAAACAGACAAAGCTAAGATTTACCTGTTAAAACTTCAAAACCGAATTTTTTCATTTTCTTTGTGTATTTCAGCAACAGTTTTTTTGAATATTTGAGAAATGTCTTTGTTTGTTACGGTAGCAAACCGGGAAGCCATTTTGCTCGCAGCTTTCGCGAGTTTGGCGTCGCTCGCTAGGAGGAACTGGAGGTGAATCAGTGAATAGCACTGGATATTCACTGATTGAGTAGCCAATCAGAGAGCGTGAAAAACACTATCCACTGTTTAAGTATATACTAAATAGATTTAGCCAAGGCCAAAAGCGAAGCTCTCGAGGTAACTTACTTCATGAAGTAAAGTTTTCTAAGATTGTGATATCTTGAATTCTATAACTGGTCAGCGGAGAACTTAAAAAAAACCCCCTCACCTCAATAAGTTGCACAGCTTAGCCAGCGGTAAAGTCATGTGACACTGGTCTTCGGATGCCCTACTTGGACGGCTGTCAATTGATTATAACGTGGATGTCCAATATCAAGTTAAACCAAGAGAGGATAAAGGAGACAGAGAAGGCATCCCCCATACACACCCTATTCCATAGGTAATTCGTCTCGACTTATTTTTAAGACCATAGATCACAAGGGGGATTAGACAACAGCCAATCACATAGCGCGAATGTGTTCCGCGTGGATGACCCACGCTCAGAGCCACGCGTCCTTCACGAAATGAAGCAGAAAAAAATGGCAGAAGACGCGGACAGCGATATTGCTATTTGTTTTGATGACGAAAACGACTTAAGGTGATTCCCTGGTTTTGCACTGCGCATCTCTTACTGCGCATAACAAGATGGCCTCCGTAAAAAAGAGCATGTGAAGTAGCATTATTAAAATGAAGTTGACCGAAGAGAAACGTTATTGCAATGTTTGCTTGCGGTTATTTCTTGCCGAGGTGAGACTCAATGTGGTGGGAATGTGCATAACGTGAGCAGTACGCGTGTTGCTGAGTTCGACTTCCTCACGGAGAACCTCGATAGTGGATGTTTAATTTGTGCTTACTCACTTTGATTTTCATTTAAACGCTTTCTTTATCACATTGTGTCCTAAATGTGATATCTCGATGTAAATTCTGTAAAAACGGATTTTTTAATACTTTCTTCCCCCTTTCGCATACATTCTATTTTGAAACTCGCCCCAGTCCTCTCTCAAAAATCAAGGAAAATGCATTTGGTGCGCACTTTCTGCAGCTCTACCGCAAAAACGAGTACGGTGACCCCCATTTTTTATTTCATGATTTTAATAAGGACAGTGCTTCCTTTTGGTGAGAAAAAAATTGGCACAAATCTATGTTCAGTTTTTTGGCAATTTTACTAAATTGTACGGATTGAGCTATCACGTGTCGAATAGCGCGTGTCCAATTTAATTCTACTTTGGAGTGTAAAGTAAAAACAAGGGCATTAAAAGGCATTTTTCTAGTACGTAAGTGGATAAACAATACAATAAAGTCAAATTCTGTGCGATAACACATGCATCATTGAAAAATCTTTCCTTTTTGTCTAGTTTTGGGCTGCGCGCGGTTTTTGTCAAAGGGTCCAAAATAGCCGTATTTGTCAGCATTGTGACGTCAAAACGAGCAAGGTGACCGCCACTTTTTATTACCTTTTTATCATCTTCTTGACTTGTTACATCAGTGTATCAAGTTTCATCTACAATCTATGTTAGGTTCTTTTACTAGGGAATCACCTTAAGAGAGATTTCTGCTAAAGCTGTGTCAGCGAAACAGACATTAAAAAAGAATCGCCCTTCCTCTCTTGTATAGAGCTAACAGTACAGCAGGGAAATCCTTAACACACTGAATATTCTCTCAGGATCATCTATAATTTGCAGTTTGAGAAGAGCAATTTCTGGTTTGATATTTATTCTTTTATTAGTCTTTTATTATTCAACAAAAATAACACTTGGCGTCCTACTTGCTTTATTATACAAACGACCGGTTTCAATAGACCGGCGAAAATTTCTCATTTTATTAAAGCACTCAGGTTACGACAACTTCGAGTTAAACTGATTTCACGGGTTGTCAAAGAGTCTAGCGATTCCCTTTTCCCAGGTGAGCGCCGATTCATTTCGCTTCAATATTCAGAAATGCTCTCGATCTCTTTACGCTTTCATTGCCTTTCGCCCGACATGTTTTGCACGGCCACATCCACGCCAACATCCACGCAGCGCGCGAGGTAACTTTATCCCGACGGAACAGAGTGTTTATAGGGGATGCCTTCTTTGTCCCCTTTATCCTCTCTTGGTTAAACACAATTTGTATATGTTTTGGACTTAAAGCTAATAAGTAAGACATTTCACATCCGTTAACATAATGGAGCGGACGTACGTAGGTACGCACGATTTTGTTAGAACCAAAATTTCCTGGATGAATACTTATTAAATTTTCTTACCCATAGTGCTCCTCTGCGCGCACGAAACGCGAAATCTCCTATATTAACTCGTTGTGAAAATAACGAAAGTAACGAGGGTCACTAATTACTATTTATTACTAATATTCACCTCAAAATTCTCGAAGTTAACAGTTTCCACCCAGGACACAGTGGCATCATGTACAAAATTTTTCTTGCTTATGTTCCAGTGATTGGTCGTTATCTGTACGTGCACTTCTTTGTCTGGATAGAATGAGAACGGTGGAAATTTCACTACTTCACAGGCTGTCTCTGCCCACTGTACATGTCTCCTCAGTGAAACTCGCCCAGTCTGAACAGGAAAACCTGTCGAGGAACAACAACATCAAGAAGATATAACATAGAAGAAAAACAATGCTAATTAGAGCTGAAAGCGGAAAAAAATATCAAACAAACAAACAAAGAAACAAACAATAGCAAAAAGTTAACATAAAGACAAAAAAAGATGCATCCTGCAAACCCTTTCAGTATGGGAGAAATTAAATTAAAAGCTGATTGTAAAATCACACAATCATATAGTGGCACTATATGATTGGTACTTAATAGCGTTCAAAACAGTACCAAAATAAGCAAAATAATGTTTAATCATGAACTTTAGACCTAGAGCATGGAAAATGCCACGTGCTTAAAACGGCATTCTCAGTAAATTACAAGATGGCCGCCAAATTGAGTGATGTCGTAAGTCATCAGCAGCAACATATCTCATAACACTAGAGCTCTGCGTACGCTGGTTAAGCTGGTTTTAAAAAGTGTTAGAAAACGCTATCTTACCTGTACAACTGCCGGGATGATAGAGAGTGTGGTTACTCTTGCGCCTGCAAATGTCCAGCAGATAAAAGCACTTGTTCTTAAATGTTGTCGAGTTGGATGAACACACTGGCTCCTCGTGCGGCGGGCAGTTGTCATCACAAACACAACGGGCATCAAATGCAGAGAAAGCTTTGCAGATGGCATGGTAATCGCAAGTAACGTTTGTGCACGGGTCTATATCTTTAGGGCGAAAAAACAACAACAAAATCAGCCCTTGTATGAATAGCAAATTGACCTGACGTCCTACATCCTTTGAGAGCACGACTGCTTTTTGATTTTTTTTAAAATTTTGTTTTGTTTTTCCTGTAGGGAAAATGTATGGCAAAAAAGGATAGGAAAGGGGGAGTCACTTTTTCTCCAAAAACGCTTGGAAAAGAGGTACACAGCTGCAGTTATTCACCCAGGTAATAAGACGATCAATACGAAGTTGTTCTTAATACTTAAACGCCATTTTTTATAACTTCTTTCTTCGACATTTGATCATATTTTTTTACAGTGACAATTGCCTGACTTTATTCTTATTCCAATTTATTTCTTCAATTTGACGTTTGACCCAACGTCCAAATGCCTTGATAGTAGGACGAACCAGTATGAGAGACAAATCTTTGAAATTAAAGAATAAGCAAATATAAGAGTAATGTACCTCCCACTATTGCATAGTCCACTGTAACTGGATCGTGGGACTTGCTCATTCCCTGACTGTCTTTGATGCACACTTTGAAAGACAAACGAGTGATCTCCTGGAAAATAACATCAAATATACCGATAAATAAAAAGTTTGTATTGACTTGTTAGCTTTCAGAGAGGGGCGTCCAGTTAGGGCAATAAGGACAAGAGCAACTTTGAATCGTTTAAACAAACGTACAGTTCTCACGGTTATATAGTGGACGCTGCTGTCTGTTACAGTGCGACTACTATAACCAAGGCCATCTAGACAAAGTTGACCAACCAGATTACATGAAAAGAACACTACATTCCGAGAAGGTTAGTTTTCAGTCATAATCACCACGGAAATAAATAATAATAGAAAAGAATGGATCGTAATCAACCAATTACAATCTACAGATGTGACCGTTTTTAAACCATGAACCCACAGAGCCTCCGTTAAGAAGTATCATCAGGTGAAAATGAGTACGGGAAGTGACAATCAGCTTGATGGCTCAAGTTATTGCTTGAATTTGCCGTCAAGAGTTAAGTGCCACTTCGAACTTCTTCTTTAGTTATAAGTGCTTTACTCTTTAGCGAAGGTAGCTATTTTAATCAGCAAATCTTTGAAACAATTTCAATTTATTATGTGTCTTCAAAGCTACTCACCTCAATCCAGACAGTCAAAGCGTTGCTATAGCGACCATCTGCCTTCATTGACAGTTCCCTGGTGACATTTTCATGGCCGACAGATGCCAGAATATTGGGCTGCTCGTAGAATGGATTCTCAAACTTATAATCCTATAAATCATGATTTACCAAACACAATAATTTTCCCTGACTGTTTAAACAAATATTGTCTCTTTGATCCTTTTGAAGAAAGTGATATTGCGCCAGTTCATTAAGAAAATGATTAGGCAAACTCTAGGTCTATAAAATATATCTAATAGTGGATGCACCTCCTGAACAAGTTGCAGTCAACAAATCTAAAACACAACTCTTGTGAACAACGCATTGATGATCAAGAAGGTCTTATCTCTTGTTGGACTTAAACTCTTATTTCAAAAATGCACAATACGCCGATGCCACAGTGTCCGTCAGAGAAATGAGAAATACACAACACAAACGTTGATTGTTAACCACGTTGGTTTAAAGGCTTGAGTTTGTAAGTTAACCCTCGGACGTACATGCAAATTCAGGTACAAGGGGAGGGGGGGTACAAGGGGGGTGGATGGAACTCCTCCGCGAAGTTTTTGATATGTTGCAGTATTTTGAAACCATTTTATCTTTAGTGGAAAGCCTTTGATCTTCTTAACAAGATGAGGTATATTTAAGGGCTGGTGGCGCTGCTGGAGGCCTGTGACGTCACCAACAATGGTCGCCATCTTGGAGTTTACCAAGAATTAGAAATCTGGTTAAAACCGCGAGAAATGGTAATTTTTTGTGCTTTAAATGACAAATAACACACAAACAAGCACTTTGTATGATTTTTAGCCACAATATTTACTTTTATTGTTGAAAGAAGTTGAAAAAACATGTATTTTCACACAAAAGTGGCCTGACCATCCGCTACTTCTGACGTCATATATCGTAACCATAGCAACTGACCATCACTAAACTTGTCTCAAAATGTGCGCGAGGGATTAACGAACTGAAAACGTCTGGTACTGACACTTTATCCTCTAGGAAAAAACTCAGAAAAACCATATGGGTGGGTGGTATCCATCCCCCCTTGTACGTCCGAGGGTTAAGTCAATAAAAAATTGAATGTATCATTAATAAACGTCATATTTCCAACCTGACAAAAGGCATAATTTCTCTCTTTCTTTGGTGCACCAAGTCCAGAAAAATGAAGCCTTCCTTGCTCAGTAAAATTCCAAGCCTCAGACAGCAAATCATAAGCAAGCCAGTTCTGAAAAGGTGGACGCAAGTAACAGTCACAGCATTAAACCACTCATAAATACAGCCACTAAATTTACACAAAATAGTGTAATCATCATTCCAACAAGTAGGAGTAATGTGATTGACACAATAACGTAATTTGACGTAACTAATGTCGCCTTGTTGCATTTATTGTCTGAACCCATAGCTTATCAATTGTTCCTGTAGCCATTAAACAAAAACAATTAAATTACTTAAAAATCATGACGATGGTTGACAATTTGATCATCTTTAACAATGGAAGTGACAACATGATGACGTCATTTCTTATTGAGACCATATGCCTTTTTGGATCTGCCATTTTGAATTATTTAAATTAATTCCATTTATTCCTGCTAGTTGGCCATTTTAAATTCAATTAATGTTTCCAAACTAGTCACTAAAAAGCCTAGATCATATTAACAGCTACGTAAATAATGGTAAATTAAGTGTGATATAATAATTCATTAGAAGTAAATCTAGAGATATTCAGCAAGAGTCGCCAAGTTTGATGGTCCTAGCTTGAACGGTTTTAAGTTTATTCAACATTAAAGTGTTAGGAGGCCTCAAAGCCAACGTCACCGGGCTGAAGTGAGCCCTAAAGTGAACCCTAAAGATTCATCTCAGAATGTATTAGGGAAATGACGAGGATAGTTTATATGCGCGACTTCAAGAAAACTTTCTTTCTTTTCAAAACGCCTGCTGCACATGCGCAGCAGGGGCGATATTTTGTTAAGGCTGAAAAGCCGCTCTTTGAAAGAACCCCGCTCCCTGATCAGCGCCCCCCTCCCCCCTTTTTCACTTCCAGTCCACCCCTCCACCCCTTTCGTCAGGCTGTCTTTGCAAAGCAAATTCAGAGTTTTACGGTTTTAAAACATTTATGGGTTAGGTAAAACAATAATTCTTCTAATATAATTTTTACGTAATTTATAAGGGGACGTCAAACTAACCACCAGGTTTTTATTAGCTTCCATACAATCAGACTTAATTTTAAATTTAATTGATAACAGGTAAGGACGAAGAAAAACGTAATAGTCGAAGACTGGGCTAATTTTTTAAAACTCACCACTTTAAGTCCGGTATGGATACCGTCGAAACTCATAAACTCTCTCAAGCAAACAACAAAGCCGTCTGCTTCGACCTCTTCTAGCCAGATGTTCATGGAATCAAAAGGACGGTTAGAATGTTTATGTTGAACGGTTACAAATACTTGAGGTTTTATCTAAAAGAAGAGAAAAAATCACCCAATAAGTACATGTACATACTGACCTTAAATATGATTATCGTCCTCTGCCCCGAAGAGGACCGGATTAACAGCGCTTAACGTTATGGACTGACGTTATGACAGGCTCATGGCCATTATAGCTTCACAACAATTGTTGATTCCGAAAATAATCAAGTATCGACTTCATTTCGGCTTTGAAGAGTTACTCGGTTTTGCATGCGTCGATTTGCCAGAGTATTAGGAGGAGATTCTTGAACAGCAAACAAAACATAGGAAAAAAAACGGACGATTCATATAGTGCTAAGCCCTTTTCTTGTTAAAGGGGATATGCCACGATGATATTGCTGCTTTAGGCCACTTCGCAATTCTGTGCTGAAGTAATCACTGTGTCCATTTATCCATGCATTAAATGTTCCTGCAGAGCCATAAAGAAGATATCAAACAACTTTCATCATGGAGCACTATAACCATTATATTTTTTGGTGATTTTTGCAGGCATAGTATTTAAACAATTTACAAAACAAGGCCTTTTTTTATAATTTTACTGATGTGAAGTCACGCGCGTTTTCGTTATTTTTGTCGAAGTTGAGTTATGAGTTTTTCGTGAGTATTGACTTTAAAACTAACATGGAAGACTAAATGAATGAATTGGATGACGTTGCGAAGTTACCTGTTTCTGAATGCTTAGCGATATCTTCTTGCACTGTGTTCGTGACGTGAATTCATTGAATTCCACGATCCCTGAGTGTATGCCTTGATGCGAACCTTGAAATGCAAGCCAGTTGATCACAGATGTTCCACCAGAGCCACTTCCTGCTTCGCGCACGCAGGCTTCAAAACCTGTTGTTGACACCGACTTCACCCAAAGAGACGCTGGGTCGTGGATTTTAACATATTTGTTTCCGTGACTGAGCGTCGCGAACACCTTTACATCTCCCGAACCCCGGAATTGAGTTTCGAAAGAAACGGCTTGGCAGCCATGGTTGTTTTGGGAAGTGTCGGTAATATTTACCTTCCCAGCTTGAAAGACCGCCCCTTGAATGTAAAAAAAAAATAAAAATAAAAAAACCATGATAATGATATACACGATAACGATAACAATGACAATAACAATAACGATTATAATGATGATGATAATGATGATGATGATGATGATGATGATGATGATGATAGTGATGATGATGATAGCCCTGCCAGATGGGGCGGAAGGGGGTATAGGGGCTACATATATCTTAGCATTTTACAATTAGACCAGATGAAAGGCGAGGTAACAGCGGAAGACTTCTGAAGAGAAATTAAGACGGTTGTGTAGATCCAAATTGAATGGCAGAGATCTTATTAGTGCATCAATGCCTAGGCTGTAGGTTTAGTACGCTAAAGTGTAAGTATCGTGGAGTGCATATTGGAAGGGCTGGTCAGCATGGATAGAAAAACTAGGACGATATTGGCAGTCAAAGCCTGTTTACACATGCACCAAAAGTAATGTTGCCAGACTGTATCTGCCGAGGAAAGAAAGGGTTGATTGATATTGAGAGTGTGTAAGGAAGGAGAGCAAATCCTTGCAGGGCTAACTGAGCACGAGTGGATGCTGCATGGCTTTGAAGGAGAGGGTGCTTGTTGAAGAACAGAATCTTCACGACTGGAACGGGAAGCTCCACATGAAAAATTTGCTAGGAAAACGTCGGATGTGGCTGGAGAGGAGACCTGTAGATGGTTTGGGAATGGTTTCTTAAAGATGGGAAGAGAAGGCAAAGCAATGCAAAGGCTTGGTATGGAAGATTAAGTTTGCCTGACATTTTGTGAAGTACACAGTTGTCAGCCATCGTTCGTACTTTTATTTATTTATTTTTTATTTATTTGCCACACGATTACAACAAAAAGATGCCAAAAAAAAAAAAAATGTAGGAAGAGATGGCGAGGAGGCCTAAAAGAAACTATAGAGCTTATGTTAATTAGGCCTCCTCAATTACAATTTTTCGAAGTTGGCATAAAAATTATGGCGACGGATACAATATAATATGAGGTGAAAAATTAAACTAATCAATATTACGGAAGTTTACAAATGCTGGATATTAAAAGGCTTTTTCCCAAGATTTTTGTTGGAGTATACTAATAATTATTACAAATAAACGCCTTAAGTGCTCTTTTAAAGGAGAAAGGTGAGGAAGTGTTGATGATGTTGGTGTTTAAGGTGTTGTAAAATTTAGGTCCTTGATAAAAAACGGAAAATTGTTTGGTTCGAGTACGACAGAAAGGCAGCTCACCTTCTGAGGAATGTGCCGTGTCTCTAAGCTGTGGGAAGAAGCTAAGGCATGAGAGGACCAAGAAAAACACCAGAGAGTTGGAGAGAATCGCCCAATAATAATGATGATTATTGTTATTATTGTTGTTATAATGAATTAATAAATGTTAATCGTTAATCTTTAATCTTAATCGTTAAACCCTTTACATATTAGATATTAGCGGAGATAGATTCCTTAATTCCTTGGAGAATAATAATTTGTTCATTTATTTTTTGAATATTTAGTTACCGTTCACCATTTTGCTAAATCCTCTTCACATCACCCTAAAATGATCGTTTTATTTGGAATTATATATTTTGCTTTCTCATCCAGATCAATTTACCATTTTTGAATCGATAGGTCTAATCCACCTGGATCTATTACATCCCATAAGAGGTTTACTTCCCTGAAAGCATTAAGGTTGAGTTCGGGCCTCACGTCTCTTACAATATGCTTTAAGCCTGAGATCGTCGTCTATAAATTCCTTGTAGGGTGGGCCCCCGACGGTATAATGTCAGCTTGATATTTTTGCTTATCCAAGAGGAGTCATCCTGCATTTAAGGTTTTTGTTGACGCAAGTCTTCGGAAACCCAGGGGAAGCACATGTGGACGTGCAACGGGTAAAAATATTGCCGACAAAGTTTTCAAGAAGTACGGGAGAGAAGCTTCCTCCTTCCCAGGTTGCTTGGAGGGATTCCACCCATAAATATCCTGCGTCAGTCGCTGCCCCTGCCCTTCCTGGGATGCGCATGAAAAATTCTCTTCGTGGATAAACAAATTTCAATGTAGAAACTTTAATTGTGGTTACTCTACACATTCGCAATTGAAAAAAAGAGAAAACGATGAAACGTGCCCCAAATTTGTTTAGATTGCAGTCAATTTTGACAGTAATTTGCTTAGAAACCCTCTCAATAAAATTTGCCGAAAAAACCTTACACTTGTTTCATGAAAATTACCAGAAATTCGTAATTTCATTCAGCACAATAATCGATGGTCATTAGTAACTTACCACTGGTAAAATGTAGCTGCAAATAAAGCACTTGAGCGGCAAAGAAAGCAAAGAGTAGCTTCCTCGTCATTGCCATAATTCTTTACTGCTGTGTATTTGATATTACCGCTCCCCTGTTGCAAATACGGATATGTACACTAGGCATCTCTATTTAAACCTTCTCGGTTTTGGAATGAGGAAGACTTACAGCAGTTATTTAGCACCTATCTCTGCAACGGGGTTAAAGGGTCGTCGGACCATGTGAGCGTTTCAGCGTTTAATCCGCTGGCGATGTCGACATTATGAAAAATGATTGGCTGGGGTTAGAGAACTACTTACTACAGTAGTCCATGGGGATAAACTTCAAGCAACCTTTTATTCAGTATCCGTTGGCTGACCACTTTCTGGAAATAAACAACTATTCATGCGACATTGAATAAAGATGATCGTAAACAGGTACACTAGGTATCACAGATTGTCTTGCTAAAAATAAGGACATTTTCTGTCCTGAAAATACAGGTCACGTAATTTCGACGTCTTAGAGCATAGAATATATTAGTAATAATAGCCTCAATCAACACAACGATGCATGGAAGCTCTGCAGTTGCCAAAATTAAGACACTTAAAAATTATCAGACTTGGAAAAAAAGAAAGACATTCGAGTACATGATTCCGCATTCTCCCGCTTAAACGTGATTAAAGGGAAGTTGATGTTTGTTATCTTAAAAACATACTGACACGTACACCTCTTAATACGAACAGCTGTGCTACTGAATTCAAGTCAATTTTCCTTAACAAAGTACGTAAGTTGCTATTACAGTTCTAGAAAGCAATTTTCAAGCGATAGAATAAACGTCTCACTGCAAACGGAGCTAAGGTCAAACTGATAGGGTTTTAAAGTTCAGAGGACTTGATGTCCACCTACTCGGAAGTTTCCAACGCCTACCGTTACTACTACAACAACAACCATCCATTTTATTTTGCCAAATTAAAAAACGTTTACAAAGAATAGCATACATTAAAATAGGTAACGCAAAAAAAGCCACTGAGAATTGCAAAAAGCTAAACGAGCTAAGTAGGTACAATATTAAAATTACATTTTATAAGGTTAGGACACACAACCTATAAAGAGGAGGAATATTGCCATAACCGCATGACAACCGCTGACCACTTCAAGAAGTGATTGGAACTTTTTGTTTGTCTCCTAAGTGGCCTGATTCGGCCTTAAAAATAGTGGATTTGCCTCGTCTCGTGAATGAAAATAAATGCAGGCGAGCGTTACTTCCTGGTCAAGCAATACGTTTCCATAGTAACACCAATCTTCGAAAAATCAGGAATATTCAGCTGGCAAATATGCGCATAGGAGAGCTTTTCGTGCCGGCACGAAAAGCTATCAAGAATAGCTTGAACAGCAACGACACAGAACTGGAACAAGTCCTTCACACACATCGAACATCGTAACGGAGCGGTTGGCCGAGAGGGTCTCGTCGTCTAAATCACAATCTTCACTCCTGAATACCTTATAGAGTGTTTTCACATGACGTCACGGCGGCCATATTGAGGTCCCAAGTTAATGAAACGGTGGCCATGTTGGTGTCCCAAACCGATCCTGTGGGAGCTGAACTCTTTTCTTAAGCAAACGGTTTCTTCTGTTCCAATAAATTTGCATAGACGCAGGCCACGTGGGTAAAAACGCTCTATTGGTAAAATTTTGCGATTTTCGCGATTGTACAAAGATCTTGAAATCAAAGACCCTCGAATATTAATCCTCGCCAAATTCAAGTACCCGAGAAATTGGGTACCAATAATGTATTCACTTCCGTCTCAGTGATTTCTATTCCTCTTTCCGAATTATTCACTTCCGCTACGGACCAAATACCTTCCCACACTACACCAGACTGTGGCACAAAACCTATCAGATATGTGTCGCTCCACTTCCGAGATCGGTGCACCGCTGCTGTGCTCCGTTACAGAAATCGCGCCAAACTCACCGTTTTTATGTGTGAACAGAAGCCTGGTATGGTTTTCGTGCGGGTGCAAAAGCTATGTAGTAGTAGTAGAGTGCTCGATACGTTAAAGTAGAGCGTGATATAAATATTGGGATGAAAGTGTAGTTTTTTCCTACTTCCAATATTCATATATATAGATATATGTCTCTTTCACTTTCATCGACAAGAAAACTGAGTGAGTCAAGTTCAGTTCAGTTCTTTCTGTACAACAAACCTAAGTGAAACTTTATTCGCTCAGTTTCCTAACCCTATTGGCTAATCATAAAACTTGAGGGTCATTTGGTGTTTATGGTGGCCATTCAGTGTTTTGCAAAAGGGGACCTTTATCTATTAGAGGTTTATCGCCCTGAAGATTTCAGTTATCTTCTCCTAACTAAATACCATCATCAGGACCTAAAACACGGATTTGTCAACTATTTTTCCGTCAAACTGAGAAAATCGTGAACGCCTGAAAATTTTCAGGAGTGTTGATTGTGTAGTGACCAATCACCATGAAGTTCAGGACACATAAGCAAACCTCAAAAGGGTAAGGGGCTTTAAGGTTTTTTTTTTTTTTTTTTGGAAAAAGGAGGGGCTTATATCTAAGGGGCTACATAACTCAAATAGAAAAAGCGATTCGAAACAAAATACTTTTTGCATTTACTGGTGTTTAACTAAGCGTCAAAATGTAATAGTGGAAGCTTAGGGGAGGGCTTATAACCAGGAAGGCCATTTTTTCTTGTTTCTTTGTTCACTTGTCACTATCTGAATGCCTAGAACAGGTTATCATAAGCTATATAGCTGTACTTTCTTA